CAATCCTTGGATATCGCTTTTCCCTCCAACGGAGTGTATCGCTACTCTTAAGCCTATTCTACTTGACATCTGCATCATTCTTGCGGAGCCATGGGCATTTATCAGTGGTTGGCCATGGTGAAGACCGTTTATCTTGATCGTGATGTATACATGAGGTTACTGCGTTAGCCAGCTACTGGCACATGGTCCAGAATTGTTTATTTAAACGGTGTTTGAGGTGTCTGGCCTTTCCTCAGAGGTGAGGTGGTGGTGGCAGGAGATGACACTGGAGCTGTTTTAAATTTCAAAGTGGTTGTTTTGTAAGCTGTTTGAACTCTTGAATAGGCCCATGAGATTGCGGAACTTGTGGTGCACAGAAATATGGTCAACAGTTTTTTGGATGTAATGGCTTCAAAGTGGCATTTCTTTAGCTACGGCTGTTGTGCAGATGAAATGGTGGTCCTCTGATTGCTACCGGGTGGAGTGCTACTGCTGTCGATTTATTTATTCCATGTCATCGGTATCGCAGATAGTGGGCCGTTTGGGGTCTCGTGGGGTCGCTGGTTATAAAGGGCTCTTTGGGGGTTGCATGCCTCGTAGGTCCGAGGTGGCGTGGAGGGTCTGTTGGAGTTAGTCTGTTTTCGAGTAGAGATGGGTCACTACAGCCCAGGCGCTCCGGTGTTAGAATGTGGGTGGTGCTGTGATATTCAAGAACTATGGTGAGTTGGCGCTGGGATTCTCGCTGAGTACCCATGTGGATGCCTGTCGGTGAGGTTGTCGATATTAGTTCTTAACCGTCTGTGAGTTGATGGCAAGTGTATTCCCGGGCTGAGATAGGAGGCTGGAGTCGCTACGTGCATGCGTTGGTGGGTGTGTGTGCCAGCAGGCTCTTGACAGGCACTTATTTCAGGGGTTGAATATTCGGTCAGGCTTGTGATCCTGCGGCTGTTGTCTGACTGGGGTTCGATTATTTTGTAGGTTGCTGGCATTGGGGTTGCAGCTGCTCCATGATGCGGGGATGTTGTGTCACTGCTTTTGATGTCGTCGCGTTCGTAGTGTTAATGCGGGTCAGGGCGTCAGGTGCATCACGCTGAAGTGTGTCGAGCCCGCTCTTTCCTTCTCTTCGATCATAGACAACGCGATGAACACTGGCTTCACTCGCTGTTGCTGCTGCTGCTACTGCTGCTCGTACTACCACTTCAACTGGCTGCTGCGTGTAAAAGGAGTCCGCGAGATTTCGATCACTAAACATTTGCCTATTGTAGTAGTCCTCGTCTTCGGTGCATTACTATGTCTTGCATAAGTTGCAACAGCTTTATTTCAATGCGTTGTTATTTACTTGCAAGGTAAGCTCATTGTCTTCGCAAGGGTATGAAGGCCCATTTAAGCATGTTGCGTCCGAGTAGACTGCATAAAATGTGGCTGTACAGGTTGTGTTGTAAACGTATTAAATGGCAACCAGAGTAAATGCGAAGGACTAGGCTAGTGAAGAAAGTTTTCTCCCCTGGACAAACGCAAGAAGACACGCATCATTCCTCGTCACCTGCAGTTGGGCATTCGCAATGCCAAGGAGTTGAACAAACTGTTGGACGGTGTGACCATCGCGCAGGGCGGTGGACTGCTCAACATGCAGGCTGCGCTACTGTCCAAGATGACAGAGTAGCCGGTGGCCAGCAGGGAGTAGGCTGACCGACCGACCGCTTGGCTGTCTGACCCACTAAGTATGCAACTGTGAACGTGATAACGGCCCTGTCGAAGGCTACCACAGAGAGGACTGTTGACCAGCTGATGTGCCGATCGACTGACGACTGACTGACTAGAAGTTGCATGTTGGTCTGCGCTACTTAAAATGATCACAACATTTTGCATTTGCCGGCTGACGATGATGAAATCATAAGATACATCCATCAAAAGGTAAAGAACGAGGAGAGAGAGAATGATTTAGCCGAGGGGAGGGGAGAGAGTAAAGTGGAGGTTGGACCACACGTCGAAATCAAACTATGCATTCATAGACTTTCTTGCATACCCTTTTCGCGTCTTCAACATTGAGTCGTTCGCGGTCGAATGAACATGGCATTTACACTTACCAAAATTTTATGTCACGTATTCTTACGGCATAAAATGTCATGGCCAATTTTTGAGGTCTCCTGTATTCGGCGTAACCTTAATGGCTTATTGACTGAGCTACTCTTAGGGAAAGAGTTATTCAAAGCTAATGATGCTTTTACGTTTAATAGCAGATGGTGAAAGACGTGAAACAATTTGGGTCCCTTACAATCACTGCGTTTGGTTCATCTGCGAGCACATGTTGAGCATACAACCCAAAAGTGAAACATTGGGTGAATGAAATGATATGTTAATTTGCAAAAATGCAAGCAGAATCAATTAAAAGTTATTTGAAAGGCTCTCTAAAAGCGAGTATTTACTTCCCTTCTGACTACTGCTTTCGATAGGTACAGCTTTCTTGGAAATTTTGTCACCATTATCATTCTTTAGGTAGAGTTCTTGTCCTTAGCAGTAAAGAAGGAATGCTTAACCTTTCCCAGCTGACATGTTTGCGCGCAGCAGCTCTGTTTCATACCCACCAGTTAATTGAGTAATGGTTTGGGTAAACGTCGTTGGTCATGGCGATTACTAGTGGCTTATGTCGAAATGACCACATCAAGTTGAACTCATAGCCTGTAATTTCATTTATATTTGATTAAGTGCATGAAAAGGTGATTTTCTTCAGGTTACGCGACCCATGGCTTTCAAATTCAGGTAGGAAATGCCGACAAAAAGAGGGAATGAATTTGCTCACTTGTCGTCGTGCCGAATTCCAGGGCTCCAGTGGAGGCTTAGTGCCTCATCAATTAAGGCTGACAATGTGAGGAACCATTCCTCACCCAGGAAGACGGCGGCGGCAGCAATTAAGAGGTCCTAGTCCCAGCCAAATGTGTGAGTTTCCCTCTTGAGCGCGAGCAACTTTCCTCGG